GGGCGGCGATGCCCCCCCGCTACCCGTGCGAGGCGGCAGGGACAAGGAGGGGTGTCCCCGGGCGCAAGGTGGCAGGGAAAAGGCTGGGCTGGAAGCAGGGGCCGCTGCTGGGGTGTTTCCAGCTCCGTTGATAGCGCACAGGAGCCTGGCAAACGTTCAGGGCAGGAAAAGAGCTGTTTGGTTGGCAAGCTGCGAGAAAACAACAACAAAAAGGCTTAAAAATAAGTTAATAGAAAAGAAGCCAGAACAGAGTGTCCCCACGAGCATTATCCTTGTCCCCTGCAGGAAAAGGAGGAGACAGAGCAGCCAGGCAAAGAGCAGCAACCTGCGCTGCTGCGGCCGGCTCCGCTCAGCATCCAAAACTCCCAGGGACGGGAATGGGAAGGGGCCAGCAAATCCCAGCGCCTCACTCGGTGCCAGCGCAGGCTCCCCCCCTGCGGCCAGGCCTCCTGCTTCCCAGCTGCCGGGCACTGCAGGAGCCGAGACTGGGAGAGAGTGGAGGGGCCGGAGCGCTGCCAGCTCCCGCTAGACACGGCCTTGTGGGAGCCGCCAGGAGGAAAGAAAGAAAGAAAGAAAGAAGGAGAAAACCGCCCAAGGAGATCTGCAGGGGGAGGAGGAGGGAGCTGGGAGCCTGCCAGGAAGTGCCCTGAGAGTAAATAGTTGCTCTTGCAGATATTTGCAAGGGCTTGAATAGGACTTTTCTTTCCCGCTGGGGGAAAGGTGCCAAGCAAGCTCCCCACCAAGGCGATGCTCAGGGCGCAGGTGCCGTCCCCACCGCCGCAGCCCGGCGGGGAGCGCGGCGCCTCCCCTTTGATCCGCTCCCCGATCCAGGCCGTTTCCTAGCGGCGCTGCTGGCATTTGGCCTGCGACGCTGAGGGCATCCGCGCCGAGCGGCGGCCGCGCTCCCGTTCCCACGGGAAGCCCCGTCTCCCCCCTTTGCCCAGCTTGCCGGCGGGGCCGGTTACGCGGATGGGCGGCGGATGTGGCTCCCTTTGAAGAGCAGCGTAGCAGCATCCCGAGCCCTTGAGCTGAGCCCCACGCCGGGCCGGGCTCCGGCGCTGCCTCTGCGGTCACAGTGACCAGCTCACCACCCTTCTTTGGGAAACGTCGTAAATCTTCCAGCTTTCGGGAAGAGCTGGCACAGCTCAACAAGCAGGGAAAAGCAGCTCTTTCACCTCCAGCCACTGCTGCTCATGGTCCTTCTCCATCTTTTCCATGCAAAACCTGCTTGACTGGACGCTGGGCAGGGGGAGCAGGATTGGGTCCTTTGGGGTCTGCCCCTGGTGCCACCGTCATCACTAGGCTCTCCCGCAGCCCAGCTCATTCTCCTGCTGGGAAAGGGACCTTTCAGGCTGTCCCTTCGTCACCACTTGGAGGACAAAGAGACCTTTGTCTGCAGCTGATGTGATCAGGAGTTATTTTTAGGTCACCGTCATTGGCACTTGTTGATATTATCAGGTTATCTCCAAGGCCTCGCTTCAAAGCGGAGCAGGGAGAAGGGGGAGGAAATCCTCGCCTTGTCCTTCAGGAGGGACATTTGCCTGTTGGGACCCATCCAGCAGTAGGGTCAGGCTGTCCCGGGAGGATTTTGCATTCAAGGCAGTTCCTAAAAGTCGGGACGATGCTTTTGGCTGCTTCCAGTGATGGGAAAAAAGAGCAGAGGAGCAGGGTGGTGGGAAAAGAGGAGGCAGGTGGGAACACGTTCCCCATGAAACCACGGCCAGGACGCTGCCTCGGCTCCCCACGGCAGCGGGAGCAGCAGGAAGGGCCTGTTGGCCCCCAGGGGCTGCAGCACCCGGGATGGGAATGTGGGAGAAGGGGGAAGCGCTTCCCACCCCACCGTCTGCAGCGCCAAGGCGGCAAAAAAGCTCGTAGAGCCAGGAGGATCTGAGGGATTTACCCCGTGACAACAGCCCACCCGTGGGGTTCCTCATGGCTGCCGGGGAGCCAAAAAGGCAGCTTGGTCCCCCAGGGCTGGGACCAGCAGACAGGCACCTCTTGGAGCAAGTGGAGCAGTGCCAGCACAAGCCCTCATGGAGAAGGGATAGGAGAGAGGGGCAAAGGCAAGACTGCAAATCGGCCAGACCTGTCCCAAGAGCCACGTGAGCTCTGTGCCAGCGTGTCGCCTGGGTCCCACTGCACACAGCTGCACAGGGAACCGAGCTGGTGGCCCAAGGCAGGAGTCCTCTCCCCAAGAACATCAGCAGTGAACATGTTTCTAAGGTCTTTCCTGGCTAGGGGCCGTCAAAGGTTGTGAGGAGAGAAGCAAAGCTGCAGGAGCTTGTGGTTATGAGGAGGGAAGGGTTTTATATGTGAGGGAGAGCTGGGCAGGAGGAACGGGGGCTCCTTCACCCAGGTCTGGTCTCCCAGAGGCTCTGAAGGTGCTGAAGAGCCTTTCTCTGCACCCCAGGGCCTCAGTGCATGTTTGGGAGGTGGGTGGAGGTCTCTCATTCGCTCCATGGGTGAGATCTCATGGGAGACAGCAAAGGTGCAGAGGAGCTACACAATAAATGAAAGGCTTGAGGAGCTGGGGTGGATGATGCTGGTTGTCTCCAGGGAAGAGCTTTTCCCAGAGCTCTGCCCTGATCCCAGGACTGACTGCCAGCAAAGTTGTGGTTTGGTGTTGCCCACACATGGTTCCAAGATGCTGATGATACTTTCAGATAGCACCTTGGTATGGGTGGGACCAGTCAGTACTGGGCTCCCATCCGGCCTGGGTTGGCCTCACGTTTTTTGTCACAAGGAGGACCCACCTCCTTGGGTCCTCCGATGCCCATTGCGCCTCCACCCTGGGGGCTGGTGCATGGTCCTCTGGTCTTCTCGAGGGATTGGTGCTGGTCTCGGGCTGATCATTGCTGTTACTCTGGGATAGTTACTCCAGACTCTACAGGCCCGGTCCCAGTCACTGGAAAGGGAATGCCCAACCGTGAGCTGAGTCACCTCAACTTCAGCTCGAGTCAGTGAAGGAGGCGGGTGGGCAGGATGATGCATCCGCACAGATCATAGCGGTGATGTATGTGAGGAACATCAGCACGTCTCCATTCCAACCTCTTGCTAGGACAGGCCTAGGGGAGGCTTTGTCCTCAAAGCTGAGTCTTCAAAGCTTCCAAGGCTGGAGATCCCAGCTCTCTGGGGAGGTGTCCCAGGGCTGTGCAATCTTCCTGGTCAATCTTTCTTTCCGATGCCTCCTGACTCAGATCCATGTCCGACGTTGCTTTTGTTATATTGCCTGCTTCCAAGAAGGGTTTGATCCAACATCTTTGTAGCTGCCTCCAAGAAGTTGTAGGCTGCTGTTAGCTCTCCCCTTCACCTCCTCCCCACCAGACAAGCCCAGCCCAATCAGCATCTCTCCATAAAATATGTGCTATCCCCGAGGGCTGAGTGTTGTCTGGGCTCGAGCTGCAGCAAGGGGGGCCCCACTGCATGTGCTGGAAAGCAAGAGGAAGAAGGGGAGGGGTGCCAAGCAATCTGTGGCAGGTGCCAGCTAAGGGCTCTGGGAATTGGCACCTCCAATGGAAAAAAAGTTGTTTATTGCACCCAGGGATCTTCCCCGGAGTCGCTCCAGCCTGTCTCCAGTCTTTGCCTTGGCTGCTCAGAGCTGCCCACCTTCGTGCCCAAACCTGCCACCGGGCACGAGACAAAATATCCTGCCTGGCTCTGGAGACCTCCACCCGAGCCAAGCTCCCCAGAGCCAAATGCAGGCGCCTTTTGGGATAGACCACAAAAATGAGCAAGAAGGAGCCTGAGAGGGGATGAG